TACCGCCATGTTGCTATTGTTCACACCTTCACCGATCCCGCAAACTGGATGTCCGTCGGGGTGCTTTTGAAGTTTTGGCCACCAGCTTCCTCCACTCCTTCCTGTCCTCAGCTTTTCTGAGCGTGTCTTTGAGGTCCAGGCCAGTCAATTCCTTGATATTTTCCTCCCAACTCTTCTTCGGTCTGGCTCTGCTCCTTTTCCCATGGACGCTGTCTTGATGTTGTTATAAAAGGAAAATAAATGTGTTTCACGAGATTGTTCAAACTACAGGATATAATATAATAGTATCGTTATTCTCTTAAGGGACCCAATAGTTGTCAACCTGATCTTATCAATGAGTTAACTGTTTCTGTTACATTTTTCGAGTTACGTGCATTTTTTGGCTCGTTTCAAAGTCTGATTAGGTCGCTCCAAATCTGATGAGTTGGTTCCAAAACCAGATGAGTTGAAAATCAAATTTTAATGTATGTCTGCCCTAGGTCTGTTTGGAACTTAAGTATTCTTCTTTCTCTTCATCAAGTGCAAGATCTGAAACAGAAATCGTCAGCAATGATTCTTCACTCACTTTTCTTCTTGGATGTTTTTCATAACCCTATAACACTACTTTATCATCTTGGTCTATTTATGCCATCCACATACTCTAGTTCTTTTAGTAATTTATACTTGGTCTAACTCTGAATCTTGTCATTTTGCATGTACTTCTCATAATTGTTTGAGTCTAAATATGCCTTTCAACACTGTAGGGCTATCAAAAAGGTGGAACCTCTGAGTTAAACGCCCGTCTACGATCGAGCTGAACCAAATTTGTTAGGGGTCTTTAAAAAAACCCTCTCTAAAACAACCCTGATTAAGAACGTCCCATTAGAACTTCTTACCAGGGACATCCGCTCAGTCGCCCAGGTTGATTCAACTTCTCTGATTCATCTAAGCAAATAGCGCAACCCTTTAAATAGGATATGGCGTGAATACAGTATGTTTCCTGAAAAGACCTAGGTGGAATGTAGCAATCTGACTTTGAGAGACTACCTGTTGTTGTATTATTACACTGAATGTTGTCTTTTTCCCTGCAGGAGTTCTAGACGCGTTTAAAGAAGGAAAAATCGGGAGTATGATCGGCCTTGAGGGAGGTCACTCCATAGACAGCAGTCTGGGGAATCTGCGCATGTTTTATGACCTTGGCGTCCGCTACATGACCGTGACGCACAGCTGTAACACACCGTGGTGGGTGCCGTGTTACATTCGTTGGTGACTCTTTTTCAAATGTGTAGCTATATGATGTGTCTTTACACCCCCTGCCCCTTCCCGAACCTCACTCCCTTTTCCTCCATGTTTATGTATGTATCGGTGTCTTTACTCTTATTTCCAATCGCAGTAACCCCCCCCCCCCCCACACACACACAAAGAAAGAAAAAAAACCCCAACCAACCAGCAAACAACAACAACAAAAAAGGCGTAGACACCCCCCCCCCCCCCACCACAACAGGGTTTTCGTATTTTTAAACAAAATTCTGTCCACCAAGCCGTGATAATGTACTAAGCCAAAAATGTTGAGGTTTTTTTCTATTGCAGTTCTTATGGTGGCTGTAGGGGAGAACGAGGAGAAAAAAAAAGAGGATGATGATGATGATAATGTTGTTGATGATGATGTTGATGATGATGTTGATGATGATGATGAGGAGGAGGAGAAGGAGGAGAAGGAAGAGGAGGATGAAGAGGAGGAGGAGATCTGTGGTATTGGTTGCGTGTACTCAAGAAATATTTTGGCAAAATTTAAATTCTATACGTCGAAAAAAAAGCAATTAAAAAGTATATATATATATATGTATATAAATATATAAATATATATATATATATTATATATATATATATATATATATATATATATATATAATATGTGTGTGTATATATAAATTTATATATTATTTTGAATAAATAATTCTATTTATAATATACATATATGTAATATATAAATATACATTATATATATGTATATATATATATATATATATATATATATATATATATATATATATATATATATATATATATATATATATATATAAATATATACATGTATATACCTATTATGTACAATTGTTAAAAGTAGGAAACACATTTTTCTCACTTCTCTAAAATGTTCTTGTATTGTATATTATTTATTTAACTATTTGACGGCGATTTACTTTTGTTTACTGTAGGGCAGACAACTGGAAGGTTGACGATGACAACAGTTATGAATTTGACGGGTTAGCTCCCTTTGGTGAGGTACGATTCTTTTTCTGATCCATCATATTTTATCTATCTATCTATCTTTCTATTTATCTTTCTATCTATCAATCTATCTATCTTTTGCTTGCTCTCTCTCTCTCTATCTGTCTATCTCTCTCTCTCGCTCTCTCTCTCTCTCTCTATTTATATTTCTGAGTCACACACACACACACACACACACACACACACACACACACACACACACACACACACACAGGGAGAGAAAGAGAGAGAGAGAGAGAGAGAGAGAGAGAGAGAGAGAGAGAGAGAGAGAGAGAGAGAGAGAGAGAGAGAGAGAACGATCGGAAAAGGAAAAGAAAGAAAGCGAAAGATCTGATTTTGTCAAAAATACTTAGATCTTGTCTTGTCTCATAATTTTTATTTCTTTCGTTTTTACATTTTGTTTTGTACATGTATATCGTCAAGTGCTTTTTATATCTTACTTTTTATATTATAATCATCAAATTTATCCTATTCATTCTGTTTAAATATATCATATTCCGTACGTCGTGTTTTCCTATCGTATCCATACGACGTTGGGAACCCTGTGCTCCCATTTTCCAAAAAGGAAATTTACTCCTTAATCCGATTCGTACGCTTTGCATAGCAGTCTGTCAAAATGATTTTTTGGGAGAAATTCTGAAAGTTTCAAAGAGTTCTTCGCGCTACAAGTATTCTAAAATGTGAAGAATACAATCCCTGGGGTACAGAATGACCCCAGGCGTACGGATAGGGTTAACTATTGACCAAACCAACACTGCCAGCCTGTGGTGTAAGGGATGAACCAAATATTTGTAAATAATTATAATATGCCGTTTATTATTTTATACTCATAAATTGTAAAAACTTCACCTATAAACGTGATGCAGCGATTTGCATAGGTCTCGAATCCGAAAAGTAACTAATTTCATCAGCACCCTTCACTGTTTATTGTGTTGTATCTCCTAGATTTTATTTTGTTGTGTTTGTTTGTATCATCTTTTTCACAAATTCGACTTTTTCTGTCTCTTTCATTCCGTTTCATCATTTGACACAAATAAAAATCACCCGCCAGAACAAACTTCTTCAGCTTGTGATGAAAGAGAAGAACAGCATATTTATTTAATGTGTCGTATCTCACAGATTTTAGCTTGCTTTGTTTGTGAGTATCATCTTTTTCACATTTGACGTTTTCTGTCGCATTTATTCCGTTTTATCACATTATTTGACACACATGTAAAACTTCCGCCAAAACAAACTTCTTGGGGGTGGCGTGGTAGTCTAATGGCTAGGCTACCGGACTCATAATCGTGAGATTGCGGGTTCGGGGGTTCGAGCCTCAGCTCGGTCCGACGTTATATTCTTGGGAAAGGCACTTTATACGAACTTCCCACTTGGCTCGGTCCTATCGGAGACGGACGTTAAACTAGGAGGTCCCGCCCCTTAAATAACCTAATAGTGTTTATAGGGGTGTTAAACCCACACCATTTTTTCACAAACATCTTCAGCTGGTGGTGAAGGAGATGAACCGTATCGGCATGATGGTGGACCTGAGTCACGTGTCCAAGCAGACGATGGAGGATGCTCTGGCCATCTCCAGGGCACCGGTCATCTTCTCCCACTCCTCAGCCTACCACGAGTGTCCTCACAACAGGAACGTCAGGGATGAGGTTCTCCCCCTTGTCGTGAGTATTGGTTGTTGGGGGGTTTTATTGTTAGTTAGTTAGTTTGTTTTTAGGGTTTTTAAACAATTTTTTTTTTGGGGGGGGAGGGGTGGCTTCTCAATGATGTGATAAGATTATTCAGTTATAAATTCTCAGCAAAACAACAACCCCTTCCTTCCCAAAACAAACAAAAAACAAAGCATGAATTTTTAAAAGACACCCCTCCCCCTCCCACTCACACACACACACACTGTCTCTCCTCTCTCTCTCTCTCTCTCTCTCTCTCTCTCTCTCTCTCTCTCTCTCTCTCTCTCTCTCTCTCTCTCTCACTCACACACACACACACACACACACACACACACACACACACACACACACAGACACACACACACGCATTCTCTCTTATACGCGCACATACACACACACACACACACACACACACACACACATGCAAACACCCTCCTACACCCACACACACATACACACATAAATGCATGCATACATACATATACACACATACAAACGGAAGCATCGTTGAGGCTAGATCTAGTTCTTATTCTTTTATTATGTTTGTCTTTTTTTCTGACTACAGAGAGACAACGGCGGAGTGATCATGGTCAACTTCTACAGCGACTACATCAACTGCTCCCACACGGCATCTCTGGCGCAGGTCGCAAGTACGTTAAAAAGGGGGGGGAGGGGGAGGAGCTACACCTACAGGCTATCTCGCTTATTACAATACCAAATTTTACCAAATTGTCACACATATAATAGTAAGGAGTAAGTTTGAAAAACTAGTTTCGTTTCCATGGATACGGCGGCCATATTTGATTTTGTTGACATGTCTTATATAATGAATACCGCACTTATCGCTTATGGAAATTGATTGTAGTTTGTTCATGCGTGTTAACAAACATTAGATCTAAAAATTTGTCTGTTGTTTTTCTCCTGAACGACTTAGAAAATTTAATGAATTTTTTTCCTGAGGTAGTGCTCAAGTTTGCAAAAAAATTCGTGAAAATCCACACTCAAGATACCACCAACAAAAATCTATTTGGTATATCACAAATTCAAGAAACGAAATTTTAGTATTACATCTTTTATTCATTCTGTGAAAATTTCATGAAGTTTCGATGGAAAATGGTGGAGTTATTACAAAAAGCATAGAGAAAAGTCGCATTTTGACAAAACGGCCGATAAAGAACAACAAAATATTGACTTTATGAGAAATGGTGGTGACAAACATGCCCCGTATGGGAAAAAAGTACGTTTTTGGGGCGTTCTTATGCGATAAAAAGTTGTAGGAGAGGCAGCTAAAAATGCCTTCCACTCAAATTCCATAATTCTGAGCCGAATCGGGACTTTGGGGGTGTACTCCCCCCCCCCCCTTTAAGGGCATATTATTTCCTCGATTTCGTCCAGCCGTACGGCTTGCCTGCGTTCAAAAACCTGTCCGGTTGGCCTGTACATGTTATAAGCCCTTTGGAGATATAATTATGTGCGATTAACTCTTTGATGATGAAGAGGACACAAGTCCGATCAGCAGGAAACCAAAAGGAATCACTTCCTAAAAATTACAAATTTGCATCTGCTCAGTACCTAGTTTTGATAAATTCGACGTCAAAGATTTTGAGTTTCACGTCATAATCAAACTTTCTCGAATACGATTCTTCGAATGTCTTGGAAACGACTCCGAATAATCTTACGATTTTGATGGAGAAGATAGATTATTACTTAGGTGTCTCACCTCATTGTCTTAGTAACTCAGAACAGTCAGAAACGTCATATTTTGTAATTCTGAGGCATCGACATGCCCGACCAGCAGCAGACATAAAGGAATATTGCTGCTCATTTCGAACCATTGTACCCACTCATTATTTCGTACCAACATGTTGTTGATGGTCTTGTTAAGTTTCAGATAAAGGAACTATAAAATAAAATAATTGTAATCATATTTTGAGTAACGATCAAGATGTGCATATTTTTTAAAGTACACGTACCTCAAAACAGAGCCTCCTCAATTCATGAATAATTCGTGCACTGCAAAACATAGCTGGCGTGATATCATTGCAATATTTTCGAAGAGAGACATAGCATCTAAGTTTTCATAGCATTCTTTTTAAATTCCCCAGATCACATTGACTATATCAAGAACCAAATTGGAGCAGACTACGTGGGCATAGGCGGAGATTATGATGGTGTTACAAGGTCAGGTTTTCTTCCATTTGCGCCAGTTCAATAAACCTTTCAAAACGGTTTTTTTTTTCAATTTTGTTTTTTGAGGCGTACTAAGATTTATACAGGTTTGTGACCCTGCATTGGAATATTTTGGAATCTTCAAAAAGTGTCAAATGAGATTATTGAAACGTGCACCTTCAGATGAAATTGAGCGTTTATTCATACGACTTGGTGTTAATAATCTCCAGGTATCAAGGCAAGGAACCTCTTCCACCACCAATCAACATCCCCTCTCCCCCCTTTTCCTTACAATCTCCCAGAAAAGTACAAGCTTTTTAAAGCAATCTCTAGCTTTGTCTCAAATCTCTGGCACTCATATGTCCTATTTTGTTGCGAGTGCAGTAAAACTCTTACTGAAAAAAAGAGATAACATCGGACTGAGCTAAGCCTCGAACAAAATTACAATTACCCCCCCCCCCTCGCACCAGGGTAGTGCTACTGACTGAAATTGTCTTTAGGGCATTCCTAAAAGAGGGATATTGACACGTTCTTATGCTCTAGTAGAACTGTAAATGGGTTGATTTATCAATGCCAGACTCATACTGAGCTGGAACAACATAGGGTGAACTGCTGCCTTTTCTTTCCTCATCCTTACTACCGCCATTAGAATTCTTTCTCTACTTCTTTTGTATGTTTATCACTCTCTTGTGAACTGCTATTTCCGGAGAGTCTTGATAGCCGAAGCAGACTTTGTGCTTTTGAGGCTAGAGAAGTGAGCAGAGTAAGCCTGATTCCACGTTTGGACTTCTCTGTTGACATCCGCCCGTTGGCACTAATTTGACCTTATGCCGTTGTGAGCGCCGTAAAAACTTACTAAAACTTAAAAAAATTAAATTAGTGTTCTTCGTACAGAACGTTCTCTCATTCCCAACTCTTTTACTTCCCACGTCACAGACTCCCGGTGGGTCTAGAGGATGTGTCCACCTACCCTGACCTGTTCGCCGAGCTGCTCAGACGTGGCTGGACACCAGGCGACCTGGAGAAACTGGCGGGAAGAAATCTCATCCGAGTGTTCAAGGAAGTGGAGAGGGTAAGAATATGGTGTTTATTTTTCCTTTAAAATTTACAGTGAAATGGAAACGACTTATGTTATTCTTTTGCTTTATGAAGGTGTTTTTACACCTCAGTCTACAAAATGTACGTGCACTAATGCTGCATGTATTTTATTGTATTGTATACTGAGCATTGCAAGTTACGGACATGCGCTATATTAATGTTATGTTTTCTTATTTAGATCATTTAGAAGACGGGCACGTTATTTTATGCATATTGTTTTTTAGAAGCAATTTTATAATGACAAAATATAGACTTGAATTATCTTATGGAGGAGCATGTACTATCATGCCCACCACTCTTTGCTTTTTGTAAAAAAAATTCGCTGCAAAGCGTGCGCATAATGAGTGCCAAAAATGAAGTTTGGCTATGCTCGAGGACGTGCAGTACCCCTCCCTAAACTTTCATTTGGATCTAAAATGAGCTAAATGGTGCACTCCTTATTGAACAGATATAACGTCAAGTGAACCGTCTAGGAGTATTATAATGTACGTACGTTAAAAAAAAAGATGAAATTCAGTAGTGTTCGCTTTTGACTTTCATACTTAATACTGCACATAGCCTATAAAATATAATCGTTTTTGCTTTTTCTCAATAATTTGTTTCCAGGTCCGTGATAGTCTGGTCAACGAACCGCCCTTCGAGGACTACATTGATGCATCAACCTGGAATAACCTGACTTGTAGAACAGGACCTTAATTCTCCGTCTTTTCTTTCTTTTTTTTTTTTTGGGGGGGGGGGGGTTT